TCAGTCACCACGTGTGCAGCGGCCTCCCCACTGGACGGCTTGGGAAGCTGCTCTCCAGCCAACACCGGGACGGCCGCTATCCCATCTATGTCCCTCCGCTCTCCTGACAGGCTCTGCAGTGCCAGCTCCTTCACTGTAACCACCTGGCGGGAGCCTCTTGGGCCCTCTTCCAACTCGCAGTGACTGACCTAGCCACATGCATCCCTGCCTTTAGATCCGCAAGACAGACTCTTAGGGAGGCCACAGTGCTAGACGGCAGGGGGTTGCACTTTGCTGTCTTCCTAACCATGGTCAAATGCCACCACTGGCACATGTGGCCCAGCTACCCCTTCTACCCATGCTCAGATGTGTGAGGCAACACAGTCCATGTCACTCCCCCTCGCGTTGGGGGCAGCCAAGCATCAGGTTCTGCAAAGAAACGGCTAGGGCAGTCAGACACCACCCAGGGATGGTGCTCCCCTCCCAGAGCACAGTGTAGGGGCGCCAGAGCGAGTTGGGACGGCCCAGCAAGCAGAAGCCCAGGTCAGGCGGCCAGGGACTGAGGAGACACAGCCTAGAACCCCAAGCACCCGAGGGCCATGGGCGACATAGACAGCAGGGCCAGCAGCTGGAGCCTAGACAAGAGGGCAGAAGACCCCAGTAGGACAGACGCCAGCCCGTTGGCAGCTGGCCCTGAGGCAGGAGCTCCAGAGATTCTCATCTTCTAACATCCACATTTGCTCACTTTTTTTTTTAAATGAGCAAAAGTTACTTCTGCAGGAAGCAAGACATTTAAAATCCTCCCTGCTGTCTCGGAGTCCCCCATGCAGCTGCCCTGACCACGAGGACACACAGATCTCTTTCCTTCCACTCAAAGATTGCCAGTCAAGCCCCTTGCTCTGGTTACTTCCTGTGCGTTCACGTGCTGGCCCCAGGCTGAAAGTCAACTCTGCTGTGACCACACATGCCCTAGAGGGCAGGGACCAGCAGCAAGGGGTCGGGCCAGGCCCACGTCCTACCACCAGGTGCCTCAGGGCCAGCAGGGGCCAGATACTATGCCTGCCCACACCGACAGACTATCCATCATGGACGTGGCAGGACCCTGCCTGGGGTCTCAGCGGGACAAGAGCCTTTCAAGGTACCATGTTAAAATCATCACCGCCAGGGTCTCAGAAAGGGAAACACACATCCCCTGGGTAGCAATGACAAGCTGCTTACACACGGGTCCTTCTATTCCTCAGGACAGGGCAAGCCTCTCGGGCTCCTTGGGAGCAAAGGACCCTCTGGCCACCCTGTAAATGGAACAATCTGGGACAGTGCATGTAGTCTGACCCGCCCATGTTTTGTACACCGTGGTAATGTCTGAGACAGCACGACATGTCCACGCACAGCCTCATTCTCCAAACAACACCAGCTATCAGCAGTTCCAACCGAGACTGGCCACCTGCCACGCTGCCTGCCACAGCCAGTGCCACCCACACACACTCCGCTTGGGTTCACACTCCCAGCATGGAGCTTCTCCTGTCCTGGGAGAGTTGGTCTGGGGGACGCCTCCCCGAGCACCTGTGGCCACCTGCCTCTCAGCCCACACAGAGGTCCCCAGTGCCATCGCCTTATCCGTCCTCCAACACAGGGAGGTCTGAGAGCTCGCGAGTCCTAGCCCGGAGCTCTGACCACTCTAGACTGCCACTTGCCAGCAAGAGTTAGCTGGACATGAGCCATGGCCAGTGTCGGAAACTCAGGGCTGGACACCTGCCCATCCACACATCAGAGGACTCATGGCCGAAACAGGATCTGAGTGGGCTGGATAACCCCCATCCACAGGTCAAAGGACTCATGGCCAAAACAGAGTCTGAGCAGGCTGGACCATCCCCATCCACAGGCCAGAGGACTCACAGCCGAGAC